GCCGATCGAAAGCGAAACGAAGAGATTCGCAATATGGCAGGATTGAAAGATGACCTTATCACAAAAATTGATAGGGGCGTACTCCAATGGTTTGGGCACGTTGAGCGAATGAGTGAAGACCGAATGGTGAAGAAAATATATAGAGCGAAAGTAAATATTAAAAGGTGTCGAGGTAGACCGAAACTAACTTTCGAAGACCATGTGAGCAAATTGCTCGAAGAGGGGAAGGTCAAGAGTACTCGGATACCTAGACGTGCATGTATGAAGAAGTTAATGAACCTGAAAGAAGCGAAAGAGGTATGTAAGGATCGTGACACTTGGCGATCTGTTCTCTCTGGCTACCCCGTTAGGGATTGTGCGTGAAGATAAGACTCTTATGTTTAGTTACCACTGATTCAGAAAATACCTCTGTCCTGGAAAGAACCAGCCAGAAACCCAGCGGGACTTTTTTTTGAAAAAAATAACCGTTTAGAAGTAAATACTTTATACAATTAACAGTGATGAGATCACCTCATTCTCAGTAGTTATTATCATCTATAAATTCCTTAATATTAGCCATAATACGTAACAAAATGCTATACAACATTAATATGCTATGAAAATATTATTTTACATAAGGGTCTCGCTGTTTCAACACTGGTAAGATTTTTAATCTTTTTAAAGTATATGCTGCAGAACTAAGTATGTTTACTGATTTGGGATTTGGGTGCCTCACTGAAGCTTCGCGTCTACTGTGATTCCAAGAAAAGTGGTATCGACAAGGCTTAACTTACCCCATTTTAAATTACATCAGCATTTAGACGTTTGACATATGGAGTTATGAATTTCATACCGTTAGTTTTAGTGCCATTTAAATGCAAATTACTAACGTTAAACCAATTTAGCCGTGTAGTGGCGGTTGTGGTAATATGATAATAGTGGGAATATCCACTACCCCATATCTTCCCGTGGGTGTCGTAAGAGGCGACAGAGGGACACAGAAAGGAAATTGGCAGCAGCATCTTCCTAATAACAACAAGGACATAATAAAAAACTGCGGTTGTCTACCCGCTCGCCAAGCGTGGCAACTATGGTAAATATCCCCCCATGAGCAACGACGCAAATAAACGGCCCCCAGTCCCCGGCGGCCCCGCTATTCCTGGCTACGGTGGCGACCATGGTAACTGCGGGGCAGGGGGGTGCTAAGAATCTCCGGTGGAGGTTCGGTTGCCACCTACGACAACTCGACCTGGCAACGTATAACGCACGCACCCTGAGGACTGACGAGAAGATACTGGAGCTGGAAGAAGAGGTAGACAAGTTGCGCTGGCATATTATTGGATTATCTGAAGTCCGAAGAGAGGGGGGAGGACACGGTAATCCTCGAGTCCGGCAACTTGTTCTACCACCGGGAGGGCGACCATCTGTCCCAAGGAGGTGTCGGACTTATCGTCCACAAGTCTCTCGTCAACAACATTGTAAAGATTGGGAGTGTGTCGACGAGGATCGCGTACCTGATACTCAGAATCACCAAACGGTATTCGCGGTCATACAGGTCTACGTACCAACCTCGGCACATCCCGATGAGGAGGTGGAGGAAATGTATGAGGATAGTTCTAGAGCCATGCATTCCTCCAAAACCCACTACACGGTGTTGATGGGAGACTTCAACGCAAAACTAGGCACAATAGAAGGCGGTGAGCTGAAGTTAGGGAAATTTGGTGTAGGGCAACGGAACCGTAGAGGCCAGCAGCTGGCTGACTTTATGGAGAAAGAGAGACTCTTTATGATGAACTCTTTCTTTTAGAAGCGGCCCCACAGGAAGTGGACCTGGTCGAGCCCCGACGGTTCGACAAAAAATGAGATTGACTTCATTATGACGACCAGACGCCAACTGTTCAGTGATGTCTCAGTGATCGCAAGGGTGAAAACCGGCAGCGGTCACCGAATGGTTAGAAGCACACTGAACCTAAACGTTAAGTTTGAGATGTCTCGTCTAATGAAGTCAACGCTCCGTCCCCCTCGTGCTCTAATTCAGAATCCCGAGACTTTCAGCTCGAGTTAGTGCCTAGAAGATTGCAATGCAGTGGACGATATGAATGACAAGCTCGTGGAAACTGTCCATGCGGTCGGAGCTAAGTTCTGCAAGACCCGCCGCAGAAGAACACAAAAACTCTCCGATCACACTCTTAATCTCATGGCTGTTAGACGGGAGATGAGGCTGCAATCGTCAACAGATTTGACAGCATACAGGCAACTGAACAGACAGATCTCCAAATGCATGCGGCGAGACTTACGCAACTTTAATACTGCTCGTATTAAAGAAGCGATCGAGCGGAACCAGGGCTGCAAAGTCTTTGCCAGAGATCTGTCTGCCAGAAAGAGCCAACTGTCAAAGCTGAAGACTGAGTGTGGCAGCATCGTTTCCTGGACACCTGAGATTTTGAGTGAGATTGAGAGGTTCTATGGGCAGCTGTGCACATCATCGTTGGAGCCACACACAAGTGTGAGTAACGATCCAAGAGTTTTTACGTCTTACGCGACACTATTCCGATGATATCGGACGTCAGTCTGAGCGAGATTAGAATGGCTCTCCAGCACCTTAAAAACGGCAGGGCCCCAGGTGAGGATGGAATTACAGCGGAGCTTCTGAAAGCGGGTGGAACACCGGTACTTGAAGTCCTTCAGAAGCTCTTCAATTCCGTCCTCCATGGTGGCACTACTCCGGAGGCGTGGAGCAGAAGTGCGGTGGTCTTGTTCTTTAAGAAAGGCGACAACGCTCTCTTGAAGAACTACAGACCGATTTCCCTTCTGAGCCTCGTCTACGTGCTGTTTTAGAGAGTCATTACGAATCGTCTCGCACGCAGACTCGACGACTTCCAGCCTCCCGAACAAGCCGGTTTCCGAAAAGGCTTCAGTACCATAGACCACATACATACCCTGCGGCAGATTGTACAGAAGACCGAAGAGTACAATATGCCACTTTGCCTGGCGTATGTAGACTATGAGAAAGCCTTTGATTCCGTCGAAATTTGGGCGGTACTACAGTCCCTTCAGCGGTGCCAAGTTGACTGTCGGTATATCGAAGTGCTGAAGTGTTTGTACAGTAGGGCTACGATGGCTATCCGAGTACAGAACCAGAGTTCGAAACCTATCCAAATGCAGAGAAGTGTAAGACAGGGTGACGTTATATCCCCGAAACTCTTCACCGCTGCGTTGGAAGACGTTTTCAAGCTACTGGACTGGAAATGATATGGTATTAACATCAATGGCGAGTACATCACTCACCTTCGATTTGCCGACGATATAGTTCTTATGGCAGAATCGCTGGAGGACCTTAGCACTATGCTCAATGACCTCAATGGTGTCTCCCAACGGATAGGTCTTAAGATGAACATGGACAAAACAAAGATCATGTTTAATGTCCATGTCACACCTACGCCGGTAGTTGTTGGGAGCACTATGCTCGAAGTTGTTGACGAGTACGTTTACCTGGGACAAATAGTCCGACTAGGTAAGTCCAACTTCGACCGAGAGGTCAATCGACGGATTCAACTCGGCTGGGCAGCGTTCGGGAAATTACGACACATCTTCTCGTCAGGTATACCTCAATTTCTGAAAACTAAAGTGTACAACCAGTGCGTGTTGCCAGTGATGACTTACGGATCAGAGACGTGGTCCTTCACTGCTGGCCGTATGAGGACGCTCAAGGTCGCTCAGCGAGCTATGGAGAGGGCTATGCTCGGAGTTTCTCTGCATGATAGACTCAGAAATGAGGATATCCGTAGTAAAACCAGAGTGACCGACATAGCCCAACGGATTAGTAAGCTGAAGTGGCAATAGGCCGGCCATATAGCTCGAAGAACCGATAACCGATGGGGAAGAAAGGTTCTCGAGTGGCAGCCTCGTACCGGTAGGCGTAGTGTAGGGCGACCCCCTACTAGATGGAGTGACGACCTGGTAAGACATGCAGGAAGTCGGTGGATGCAGGTGGCTCAGGACCGTGCTTTGTGGCATTACTTGGGGGAGGCCTATGTTCAACAGTGGACTTGTGAAGGGCTGTAATGATGATGATGATGATGAAACCAATTTACTAATTTAGACATAGCATTATTCATATTTTAGTATAAACGATTTCTATCATTAAATTAGAACAAATTATTATAATTACAAAAAAATACCACTTAGTTCGATGACCTAATGATATTTTACTCTCTGTTAGAGGTTTTTTTGTCTTTTGAGAATAAAATCTTTCAACTTAGCCTATTTTTGGTTTTGACTCGCTGTTTCTATGTTTTTAGACCACACGAAACTTACAATCACCAAGAACCATCACAACAGCTTAACGACCGTCTTCGATAACATAGATTTAACCCGTTTACACAGCGATAAGTGAGATCGAAACGTAGTTACGCTGTCCGTTTGTGTACAAATTGAATTGATTTAATTTACTAGCGGTTACAAATTAACGTACTTTAGATTCGCAAACCGTTTAGAACTACAAGCGTTGTTTGTTTTTCGTTAAATTAAATTAATTTATTACATATTCTAAACATGTATTCCGTTCGAACCGGCCTACCGGCGGACCGGAGGGAAGTAGCCATAGCGTTTTTTACCTATATAGAACTGTCAGTCATTTTTTGGGGCAGAAAATCTGGTCACACTATCACTCATAATAATTATAACAATAAGCTAACAATTTTACACATTCACAAATCGCTGTATGTAATATTTACGGAGCTCACTTTGAATTATGTGGACAGCTAAATCCTCAGCGATATAGTTTCCTGAATTATCTATTTGATGCTTTTACACATTTGTTAACTTGTGTCTGAAACAACATTATTTAACAAAAATAAAATTATTTATTTTAAAAAATTGCATTAACGTAAACGTTTGTGCAATAAATGAAGTTAAAGTTATAGACATACGCAATAAGGCGAGGATTTTTATTTACTTGGTCAGATACATTAGCTGATCTTGGTACAATAAGTACTAACTCATTGCATTTTACAAAGCAGATGAGAATACTTCTAAAACCGCCCGCTGAAGGAGAGGAAATGTATGTATGTAATATTTACGGAGCTCACTTCTTCGGGAAACAAATTCGCAATGACTGAATTATGTGGACAGCTAAATCCTCAGCGATATAGTTTCCTGAATTATCTACTTGATGCTTTTAAACATTTGTTAACTTGTGTCTGAAACAACATTATTTAACAAAAATAAAATTATTTATTTTAAAAAATTGCATTAACGTAAACGTTTGTGCAATAAATGAAGTTAAAGTTATAGACATACGCAAATTAAGGCGAAGATTTTTATTTACTTGGTCAGATACATTAGCTGATCTGGGTACAATAAATACTAACTCATTGCATTTTACAAAGCAGATGAGAATACTTCTAAAACCGCCCGCTGAAGGAGAGGAAATGTTCAAAAGTTTAAATGTTCAAAACCCTAGAATCGGCCACTCATATTTGAGAACATAAATTAGCAGCAACATACAATTTCCGGCAACGAATCTGGGGAATTCCCTGGTATTGCAGTTGTTCATGGGCGGCGGTATTCGTTTTCCATCAGTTGGGATGAATGTTCGTCTTGCCCCTCTTCTGTCTAAAAAAATAAGTTTATTATGAGAGCGTAAATCCCGTCATTATTTTGTTCTAGAATATTGATGGAATAAAACGACTTCTTCTATTAGGCATAAGCTTTATATAAACATTGATTTTTATAACAGTTTTTCGATTTCGTTATCGATTTCCTTTTGTATTTATCATTAACAATAAGGATTAACGAACAATCATTATTATTTTATTATTTGTAGCCCATGTAAATACTTATTCTGTGCGGGATTTGACCCCCGGCCCTCGGTGCCGCAACTTAATGCCAAGCCACTGCGCTATGGATCTATCGTGGTAAATATAAAATTAATTTTATAAAATGGCATCACCAGTAATTAGTTTGGAGCCATGACGTTACACAAATCATTAGAAAGGACAATGCGCTAGTCGCTGCCCTTCGATTGCTCGATCGCACTAATTCGCCTACTCTGCACTCGGGACGAGGAATTTTAATTGCCCTATATGTAAATTTTCGATTGTTGTACACGATTGACAATATTCACTGCGAGCTTAGACTGACACGATTCAAATGACAACTGCGTTTCCTGTATTATAATGTTTTGTTTACGCTTTGATTTCGCAGCGTTTAAATTTAATATAAAGTTATACATAGGAGTTGATCGAGCAAGTGGATAGAGTTTGTATATTTGGGTAGCGTATTAGCAGGGATGGGAGATACGATAAGGATATAGAACGACGAGTGAACGCAGGAAATAGAGTTAATGGGGCCCTACACTCTATTGTGAAGAGTCAAAATATGTCAAAAAAGGCACGTATGGCAATTCACAATGCTGTGTTTGTCCCTACTTTAACGTATGGTAGTGAAAGTTGGGTGTGGCAGAAGAAGCACGAGAGTAGAATAAACGCAGTAGAAATGCGGTCGTTAAGGAGTATGTTAGGGCTGAATCTGAATAACAGGGTGAGAAATTGTGTGATAAGAGAAGAGTGTGGTTTGCAAGATGATGTTGTGGCCAGGATTAAGAAAGGAATGCTTCGGTGGTTTGGTCATGTGGAAAGAATGAATGAGGAAAGAGTGACAAAGAAAATTTATGTGCAGAAGTGAATGGCAGAGTCGGAAAGGGACGTCCTAGGCGAAAATTTAGCGACCAAATTAACGATTTTTTTGAAAACGGGCCAAATTAGGAGTACCCTTAACCGACGAGCATGTATGCGTAGGTATATGGACGTGTAGGAGGCGAGAGAGCTGTGCCAGGATCTTTATTTTATTTTTATTTTTATTTAAATTGGTTTACCAACAACTTATGCACTAACATCTTTCCATATAAATCAAGCGATATAGTAAAAAAAAACTAAGTACACAGTCAATTATAGGTAAACACCACATGCATAACTTTTATCGCGACAATTACAAGACGAATTTATACTTATTGAATAAAAACACTGTAGTATTGCTATTATAAAATGCACTAAAACATACTGACCAAAAACAGAGCGGCAAGGTATGGATTTACAATATTTAAAAAAAAATTAAAAAATTAAAAAAAAAGGAAAAAAGTGTTTAACAAGGCAAATGTTTATAATCTGAGGTACCTATCATATAGACAGCCTTTCGAAACTTTCCCAATGAAACATGGTTAATGTCGACGAGATCGCTAATTTGGTTAAAAAGTCTGATCATCCTACAAATTGGCGAATGTGATCCCAAAACAGTTCGTCGTAATGGAGGACTGAGTGGAGTAATAGGTTTTCGTGGAGGCCTGAAGGGAACTCTAAAATTAATCTTTTGTAAAAGTTCTGAGCAGTCTATGATATTGTGGAGTAATTTAAATAAAAATAACAAATCTAAAACCTCTCTTCGTTTGGATAAACTGGTCATGTTAAAGCGCTTAAGACGGGTCTCGTAACTGATATGCCTGCCTCGCATACCCGAAGAATACGATAGATGCCGAAGAAAGCGCTTTTGTACCCGTTCTATTCTCAATGAGTGAGTAGCGTAGTGCGGCCGCCAGATTACACTACCATACTCCAGTACACTTCTGACCAGACTACAATAAAGGATTTTTTTAGTTTTAATGTCTCGGAATTCCTTACTATTTCTTATAACAAAATCTTGCCAAATGGTAGTCTGTAGTCTCTGCCTACCCCTCTGGGCGGCGGTAATCACTTACCCTCAGATGAGTGGTGCTCGTTTGCCCCCTCTCCTATATTAAAAAAAATTGTCGTTTTATCAGTTATCGCATATTTTTCGTATTAAAGGGCATGTGTTTTGTAGATTATAAATATATTTATGTAACGAAATAATAATGTGATAGCGTAAAATACTTACTATCTAATCACGTCTTGCAATGAACATTTTAAAAGTTGCAGCAGCATCTAAGAAATATCTAATACACTGATCGATAAATCCACTTGCTACGATAATTTTTATGCTGATAGAATTAATTACTATCCTATTTCCTCCCAGCATGGAGAATTATGTCCAGCAATAAATAAGGAACAAACATCATTGTAAAATACAATAAATTAGGAACTAAGAAGGGCTACAACAAATTTCTAAATTTTAGTCAATTTCTATTATTGTCAATGAAAATTCGTAAAGAATTTCAAATCGACCGTGTAGAGGCGGCGTAAGAATATCCACTATATCGTCCCGTGGGTGTCGTAGGAGACGCCAGCGGGAAACTGAAACAAGAGACAGGCGGCAGCATCTTCGTGATAACAATTAAGAATAATAAAAAAGCTGCGATCTCTCTATGTCTCCCTATGAGGCAACCTATAGAGAAGGCCTTCGTTTAGCAGTAGACTTTCATACACTGTAATAGAATGTAGATTTGGTGTCAGACTGTTTTATAGTATATACATGTAATAAAAACCCCTGTGGTTCCCGTTAAGTACGTAATCGGAACCAGTATTCAAACGTGTAGAAATAACTTTTTTTAGAAAACTCGACCTAAATTTTTTTTATTTAATTTAAATATATTTTAATTTGCAAATTGTATTACTCTGCATTGTCCGGGGAGTAAAAGGATAGTCCAAAACCTCGCTTTGCTGATGCGCATGTCAGTTAGAGTTAAGAGATAATAAAACAACATAAAATTTGCAAATGATTTTTTTAATTAAATACTTTAAAAAAAATTATTGTCGAGTTTTTGGAAAAAAGTTATTTCTATACGTTAAAATACTGATTCTGATAATGCACATAACGGGAACCACAGGGTTTTTGTTACATATTGTATAATTATAAAAAGAGCACTTTACAGTGAAGCAAAATTAAAATATAAGCAATCAATTTTTTCGTAAACGGTAGTCAAAATAACACACTGTGTATTGGAACATGAGTTATGCATTCGCAAAAGACGTATCATTTATCCAATGGACCCGTGAGCAATGAGCAATAAGCATGTGGCTGAACTGAAGTGACCGCTGCATATCTCTATCGTTTTTATAACAAGCTAAATTTAAACGTAAAAATACTTTTTCTAAGTTTTTTATTACTTTTTATTGCCTATCTGTTCTGGGATAATTTAAAAAATAAATACTTTTTGTTGCAGACAGCGCTTGTCCGACTTTCTCGAAAGCGTTCAGATACGATGAATCCACTTCCACGCAATTGCCATTTCAGTAAGTATTGTAAATATTTCACAACATTACTTATACAGAAAAATCTATTTGAAAGAAAAAATTCAACTGATATGTCGTAAAAAGTGAAGCTTGGTAGAGTTCCTCGACAATATAATATATAAAAAAAATATATATATATATATATATATATATATATATATATATATATATATATATATATATATATATATATATATGGTTGTACACTCCATTATTTATCACACACCTTATTGTGAATTGCTCCTCCTCCTGCATCTTATTGATTGTGAATGTGGTCTCTCTTACATAGGTCAAAGAAATCGATCTATAAAAACCTGCGTGAAAGAACATATAGCTGACGTGAAGCACCGACGCTTCGGGAAATCTACAGTCTCTGAAAATGTTCAAGATCGTCCACACTGATGCAATGATCAGATTCGATAAAACACAAACCCTCGCAAAAAACACCGATTCCTACCAAGGATGATACGCGAGGCTATTGAAATTAAAAAACATCCTAATTTCAATAGAGAAGATGGATGGTTGCTGCCATCTGCTTGGGACCTTATAATTAACAAAATTAAACCCAAACCCGAACATACCACTGCAAGACTTCAAAATACTGTAAGCTCGTCGGACCAAAAATTAATATTTAAAAACTGAAGGTAGCCGGGCTAACTATGACATTGGGACGTCAAACAGCTCAGTCCCCGTGACCATGGGTGCTGTAAAGCGCCCGAAACGTCGGAAATTAAAAATAAGTTATTAAACGCGATAAAATACGTAAATATAGTTTTATTCAATTTTTTTTTTTGTTTTAGGACGAGTCATCAAATGCCTAAAATCAAAGTGGGGCCTGACCTGCGTAACGCAAGGAAATACAAACATTGTGTGAACAAGTAAGTTAATCACTGCCGTAATATATTTGTTAAACGAATGGACATGGTAAATTTCGTAACGCTAGAAGCTTCTCAAGCAATCAGTATGCCTTCTAATTTAAAAAAGTTGCATCATGGATTTGGAGCTGGGAAAATTATGAAGCTTTAATTTTATTTGAATTAACAAAATTTCCATATCCATCAAAAAAAATTATAGTTTTTTCCTTTATCACCAAACGTTTTTAAAATCGGAGTTTAGAATTGTCATTAGTCATTACCTATTTTAGTGATACCGACGAGATCAAACTCACGACGCCATTTTAAAAAAGATCTATTTTTAATCTACATCCTTTGAAATTAATTCCAATTTGTTATCACCTCCCCACTAGATGGAGTGACGACCTGGTAAGACATACAGGTAGTCGATAGATGCAGATGGCTCAGGACCGTGCTTTGTGGCATTGCTTGGGGGAGGCCTATGTTCAGCAGTGGACTTGTGCTATAATGATGATGATGTTGAGTACATGCCTTATTAAACAATTCTTTTTTGTTACAGATTAAAACCGCAGATCCCACATACATCACCGCCGCTAGTAACCCCACAATCGCACCTACAAACGACGCTTGAACTATCCACGAACAAGCCGCAATTTTTATCGCCAATATTACCCTTTTCCATACCGAACCCAAACTTACCCAATATGAACTCCGATATAGAAATAAAGAACTTTTTGCTCAACGCCGCACTGCAGAACGCCTTGACTGGTTCGCTGAATCAAATCACTCAAAAAAGGCCGTTTACAAAACCCATAGCAGATATGGCAAAGAAACCCTGTATCGATAACGAATTAACGAATAATAATTATAACGAAGAAATCCAGACTACTAAGAAAAGACTTCATAAATGTGATGTCGCTGGTTGTGATAAAGTTTACACGAAAAGTTCTCATTTGAAAGCACATAAACGGACACACACAGGTAAGGAAAATTAGTTGCAGCTTCGAAATTCGTTTCCCCGGTTTCCCCGGACACTTGCGAATATTTTGTTATAAATATGTATCTAAATACCAGTGCCCCCTCCCCTCTAAATAAACTACATTGTATGTCTAGTATCTGAAACTATCTTAACTTATAACGGTAGTAATTGGAAGCACCTCTTAGTTATTTAAGGCCGGTGTGCGAGCTCGACCGACCGTCGGTGCGTACGTTGGTCGCGCTTGCCATTTGTATGAAAATTCGTTACAGTGCTCGACCGATCGTACGCACGCGTATATTGCTACGCACTGCGTACGAGGACCGTCGGTCAAGCGCTTCCGCATGCGTACTGTCGGTCGACCGACGCGCTATGGAAACATATTAACGCGTTCAGTGCTACACCGATCGGTGGACCGATCGTATGGATGCGTGTATCAACGTCAAGAAAATCGAACCCAAACTTGAATAATATTGTATGATTTTATAGGTATTAAGTATTGTTAGTGATTTAAGTAATTTTCATCAAACATGGCATATGTCGACACCGAACGCCTATTTACTGAAGTCCGTCTTAGCGAACTTCTGTGGATGTGTTGTAATATCGTTGTAGAAGCAATGAGTGCAAATTGTCTGCGCACTTTTTTCACTGAACACTAGACATTTTGTCTTAGTGTTCAGGGCTGATAACTCATTTTAATTCTTAATCAAGGATAGGTGTAGATGTCTATAGGCTATACTTATTTTTATAAAAACGACCGTGGTTTTTTGATTAATGCTGCTGTATTTTGTATGGTTAGTAATGAAAACTGAGGACCATATTTACTGGTAACAACACACTCCATCGTAGTCCTCGAAGGTAACATGGAATCTGCATTTTGATTCTCAATCAGGGATGGTTGTAGGTTTTAGGGGCCATAACGACCATCAAATAAACTGTTGTTCCATTATAACCCTTGAAAGCACACATTTCCCATTAGTTCCAATTTTCCATAGCTTTAATGGTGTACCGTACTTGTGCAATGGGAATTTTGCATTACATACCAAAGTCTTAAAAATGTTTTTATTTCATTTTCTTAGGTGAGAAACCCTATTCGTGCGCCTGGGCGGGCTGCGAATGGCGTTTCGCGCGTTCAGATGAGTTAACTCGACACACGCGCAAACACACCGGTCACCGCCCATTCACCTGCCCTCTTTGCCGACGTTCCTTTGCACGTTCGGATCACCTGGGGCTACACATGAGACGACATTGACGCAAATATCATCTTTAATTTTTCAACCTCATCACCTGTTACAGTTGTGTTGTATTCCATCAAATGCACTAATTACTCAATTGCTCTATTACCTGGATGAAATTATTTTAAACGATTATCGATAAACGACACGATTATAAGCTTTTACATACATATGAGTATGTTTATCTGCTTAATTGTTTAAAGGGTTTTAACGTCTTTGAACGCTTTAAAAAGAAAAATCGAATTTTACTGTATTGCGACGATTTAACAGTTGTAGTCAACGAAAATGAGTTATGGCAACCCTGATAGAAACGGAATCTATGTTTGAAGGAAAAATATTTATGTATAAGATATAACAAATTACTTGAATATTGTAAACATTACAATCGAGTGAACAGTACATGTTGATAAATAAGGTAGTTATTTTACGTATTGTAAAACCTTTTAAAATTACCTTTATTAAAATAAGAAATTACTTTAATTTACCTTTTTGAAATAAGGAATTATAAGATTAAAAACACCATGCACGAACTCGAAATTGTATTTATACATAATATAATAAATAAATAAATTTACGAAAGCATAGTACATTTTTTATTAAAAATGAATTGAATATAGGAGATTTTACGAATTTTGCGATTTTTTATTACTAAAGTTATTTTATAATTGTTAATATATTTTTAACATCCTAAATAAGATTCTAAGTATTAAATTATGATGTCTAATGAATTTCCACAAAATCAATGTAGTAAATAAAATATATTCTACACTGTGAATCATATTCAGTGGCATTATTGTAAACTTAGGCCAGTAAACTTTATACATTTATTATTATAATTTTTTATAAATTAAGTGTTTAGTGTGATATTACGTACGTACCATACATCTTTTGATGTTAGCTCTATTTTTCCTAAACTTCTAGTTTAAATTTTCTTAGGTAAGAAGGACCTGGGCTATATTTATGGACTCAAAAATAATTTATTGTGAGGTCACAATGTTCCATTATGTCTACTATAATATGTTAAGTACGAGTACATTACGAATAGATAAATGCTCAGAATGTTATGTTAGTTTTATCGACGGGGATTACCTTCTATAATGCTATAATTGTACTCTTATTTCATGATAACATTACGTCCCTAACTTCACTTGCGGCCCAACTTCACTTGCGTCCCTAACTTCACTTGCGTCCCTAGCTTCACTTGCCTAAAGTGCACCCGGATCTAGTTACCTGTGTAACTTTGGTAATGTTCTTTTATATCCTCCACAATTGTCATTCAGAAGATTAGTTCGTACAGATAAACTCACTGACAAAAATTGTGTCTAATAGCATGCAAATAACATCCTAACCTTATAAAAGACAGTTATTCCGATGTTGTAGACTTTATGTCGTGTTACAAACGATTGACTATTTTGATATACGTACTGATTGATCGCAATTGAAATATTTTTTTTTGAAACTCTGCACAATTTTTTTTGTCTAACATACATTTGCTAATTCATCCGAATTGGTATAGCACTGTCACGTACTATGATTTTACGCCAAGAATGCTCAAAATATTGCAAGAACGACTTGATGGTGTTGGCGGTCACTGATACATATTATGACATGAAAGACCAAAGTACAATCAGATTTTTTTAAATCATTCGTGAATTTTAACTCGGCTGATCTAGAGTGCGGTATGGTCCATGGTAAATTAAAAGTTCTGCTTTTGCGTCACTCTGTATGGGGACATCACTCGTTAAAGTACTTGATAGTTTCATAAATATAGCATAAGGTCTGGTTATATGGTATGATAGATGGAGAGATACTGTTTCATAGTCCTTCCTTCCTGCACGCGAATTGAATTTTACCCGATAAATCGGGTAATTTTTTTAAACATAATTGGGTAGTGGAAACTATTATTCACAAAGTAGTACATCATATAATTTGTATTTGTTACCTTTCATAGTGTCTTAAAACTTGATCAATGTTTACTTTCTAAGAATAATTATTAAAAATTATTTCATTACTAGTAACTACATTACGTCATCCAATGCTAGTCTGTTTTTTTTTTATTAACTGGCTTTACGGCTCTGAGTTCTAGCCCTTCTGAGCCTATCTTTTCTTTCAATATGCTGATGCGTCACATTGCGAAGCCCTTGGGAGATTTTGACGACAATTGAACCCAGCGGGCGGTTGATGACGACAGCCACTTAAGTTCATAAGGTGCCCAAGCGACCAAAACAACTTGAGGTTTATATCGACATCAAAGCACTTGATTCGTCGTTTTCTCTAATAGTTCACACGCGCGGACACTTAATTCACAAAATTGCATTACTTTTACGAATCAAAATCCACTTCAAACCATTATTTAAGCGACAAAATAGGAGCGGCAATCCGTGTACGGCCAAGTTCTCGCCAAAACTTCTCTCTAGTCTGTTACCATTTCTAAGTTTCGATTTGACAGTTTCATATATATGTAGTAAAGTCACAGTCAAACTACTACTAACAGTTGGTCATCGTAGGCGTCTAGACTGAGCGCTCGCTCCCGAGCGGCTGTTAGTAGCTCGGAAACTGTCCGCTAGAGATGTCCCGCAAATAAATTAAAATGGTTCACACTCTACATGTGCGGTAAAAAAACTGTGAAAATACACAGCTTTTTTTTCATTTAGTAATTTTCATTTGTCCTCATTTTATTTTATTTAATGTGTCAAATATATAATGTGTAAAATCATTTTTTTTTTTGTTACTTCCCGTTGTGACAACCCTAGCGTTTTATTGTTTATGTCGGCTTTTCCGACATCAAACGCGGTAACTGACTGTATGTTCTTCTAAGGCTATGGTAAAGTATTTGAATTGACATGAGTTTCTACTACCCTATTATTTGTAAGGAAAGTTATTATTAAAATTTGGGGTAATTGTATACATTATCAACGTTTTTGTGATCCCCACTTTTTTAGTTATTTTAAGTCCAAGAGACATACTTATATTTAAGTTTAGATTTAGTAAATGGCATTATATTTAAAATTAGTTAATAGATTTTAATGACTAATTTTTAATATTATATTAAGCTTTTGTATTCCAATGCTCAAAATCTCAAGTTCCACAAAATAAAACATACAGGGCAATTGTGGCAATACTAGGTATTAGGGAAAAATCCTATTAAAATATATTTACTTAATTTAAAAAATGTAAACATATTTATATTTTTGTTTTGTTTCAAATGTTTATAAAATGAACCAATTAATGGAAATTTATTATAATAATAATTGTACATTTTGATGTTTCATACCAGAGAAAATTTTCTGTGTGCGTTGTTGTATATACTTTTCTTGATTCATGTTCAACGACGATCGAGAAATAATCATAAAGGACTTTTTCTTATGCAAAATCAATATTTTTAAATATCTTTTGATGCATATTTGAAGATTTAGGAATAATCTGCAGTCTATAGTTAAGTTAGAGTAAGTTTTAGTATTTACGTAGCAATTTCGGGGCCAGTATTTTTGAAATTACCTAGAATAATAGAAAAAAATTTATAAAAGTAATGTAATTATTTGCATAATAATATATTTTGTCTTGAAGTATCTTTGTTCATTCGAAACTGGGAACTTTTTAAAACGCACAAATGCAAAGAAAACTGAAATTAAAAGATAATGTATTGATCTCAAATTGGTATTCCTTTCTCTCTATTATTTTATATTTTTATTATTCGTATATTTTGATCTCATTTCAAGATAATGTATTGTTCGCTTTATTAAATGCCTATGTACTTAATAAAAATACGCGTGAGTTCGCGCCATTCAGCCAGAGGCATTGAATTATTATACCCTCTAAATGTTAATACACTACAATTAGTGATTTATTTTATTTATTTATTCATTTCAAACATACTTACTTAAATTACTACGTATTGTATATTCGAAAAATAAATGTATGCCGAATGGTTTGTTGAATTACAATAATATCAAATATTTTTACTAGTATGAAATAAAAACAGCACTATTATATGTATGTTCTACTAGTATATGTATGTTCTCGCCGAGTTAACTAATTGAAAAGTGATTTTTAATTCGATATTAATATCAGTTCTTTTAAATATAAAATGCAAGCAAGTCTAAGACGCATTATATGTAGTTTTGTAAATCTTAGGTAACATCTTAGGTGTAATATACTCAGAAAAATATGGTGCTGGACTGTGGTTATATTTTTTTATATAGACACAGTGTTTATAAATCGTGCTCAGTGTAGCTTCATAATAATATAACTTTTATTATTATTATATCACATGTCATATTGTCAAGTTTGCGACTTTTAAAGTTTTACAGATGTAGTTTTTTTTATTACTGTCACTAATTTTGCAATTTTACAGATGGATGTAATTATATTTTATACATGTTATAAATTATATATATATATAAAGCAATAAATCATTATTAATTAAATACTGTTTTATTTTAAATCCTTTCCCACACAATATCAATTTATTAGCAAATTAGTAATATAAAAATAGAATGTAATGTTAACGGATGTTAACACTCTCAAAATTTTAAACTAGCTTTTATTTACATACCAGATTCAAACAAAATAAATCCTGCAAATCTATAATAGTCTTTTTTTCAAGTAGTTAGTTCATCTATCATAATATAACATCATATAAGTATATCGACGTGCGGAAGTATTTGTACAGTAGGGGTACGATGGCTATCCGAGTACAGAAACAGAGTTCGAAACCTATCCAACAGCAGAGAGGTGTAAGACAAGGTGACGTTATATCCTCGAAACTCTTCGCCGTTGCATTGGAAGACGTTTTCAAGCTACTGGACTGAAAAGGATACGGTATTAATATCAATGGCGAGTACATCACTCACCCTTATATATACTCGATATAGTCCTTATGGCAGAATCGCCGGAGGACCTAAGCACTATGCTCAACGACAATGGTGTCTCCCAACGGCCTGTCCGTTAAGAATTCGTTCTTAAGATGAATATGGAAAAAACAAAGATCGTGTTTAATGTTCATGTCACAACTATG